TCAGTTTAATTTCCGCATGATTTTTGAAATTACTTGTTGCTTTTTTGTAAGAGTAGTTGAAGTCTTATATTATGTTTTGAAAGAATCTAAATTAATGTCCGGACCCTTTTTAAAAAAAGTGGAAAATTTAATTTAAAAAATTTTCTAATTTTAAAAATTTTTAATTTGCTTAATTTTTCATTATTTTTTCCGTTTGTACAATAAATTGGGCTTAAACCTTTGATACTTTTGATTGTTTAATCAGCTGTTTTTTGCATATTTTTTTGTGTAAGTAAATGAATTATTGAGTTTTCGCAATTTTTTTGTTTATTTTTTCTGAAGTTTTTCTACACAATTGAAAATATCGGTTCATCGCTTTTTAGTCGATCCTGTTTTGAAAAGTAACTATTTCACATAAAAAACGAGAACCAAACAAGCCCGAATTTCCAGCAAATCAGAAATTATTGAATTCAAGTTTTTTTTGATAATTTCAATCAAAATTGCTAGACGAGTTTATTGATGTGCAATGTCAACTTGAGTTGCTGTCTGCTAAATTTCCTTATGCATTTGATGAGTTGCTCCGATTTTGGGCAGTTTCAACGAAGTAAAAAACTAGTGAAATAACTTTTTTTGTTTTTTGTTTGCTAATGAAACAAATTTCTTATATTTTACTTACGTCTAGCTAATTTTGGTCGGTTTTCGGGCGTTGATCAGTTTTCAAGTGTTGTTCTTCCTAGGTTCAGGCAGGAAGACTTGAAACTTATTGAGTTTTTGTTAAATCAATCTTTTTTGGCTCAGCGGGTGTCTGCTCAAAGCTTGTCGGCTTAGTTGCCACATCTTTGATTTTTTTGTAGCTGTTTTCTTGATTCTTTTCTTGTTTCCCCATTGTAGTTGAAAGTGCAAGTGTTGTTCATCCTAGTCTCAGGTGGGACTCAAAATTGTAGATTTTTTAATGAAATCGCTTTTTTTCTGCTGAACATATCTGCTCAAAGATTGTCGGCATTGTTTCCTCTCCGTAAGTTTTGTTCCTTTGCTAATTTGATACTCAATTTTCCGGCATGTTAGCCGAGACTGAACTTCTATCTAGATATACGAAAATTTAATTTTTTTTGAAGAACTATTTCTCAACGTTTTCCCTTTTTTTCGACTTATGTTTTTTATGCTTGTTTTCAATCGCAAATTCGCCTTCGGAGCTCAGCTTCGCCTTTTTATGTTGTTTTTCTTTTGAAGACAACTGTACTCGATGAATGTATATTTTACTCATTTTCTAGGCTTTAGTTTGTTCATCTCATTGCACTATGCACATAAAACGACGCAAATTTAAAACATAAATTAATGCGCTCGGAACTATCTGTGCTACTTGCACGACAACCGGCTGCCTCAGCTCTTGTTTTAAAGTGCCCTAGAATTTTTAAAGCTCCTTCAGAGAGTCTATTGCTAGTGTTTGCGAAGTGCAGCTTCGCCTCTATGTAAAATCCTACATTAACTTTTTCGCGATAATTATCGCTAGCATTAACACTAGTGATAAAGATAGTATTAATTCTATTCATGATATGTAGAGAAAAAAGCAACGTTTTAAATGCTTTAGAACCATGCGTTTTTTTAATGTTCGGTCACATTACATCGCAATGCAATTTGCTTTTAATGTGGTCCTTTTTTGTGCCCATTTTCAGGTTTACCGAGCTAGCGGAAATTTCATTGAGATTTATTCTGGTTAGATATATTTACCCTTTCGGTAGGCAAGGGTATTGCAATCAGGTACTAGACTTTTTCTAGTAACTAGCTTTGTTCACAAAATGGTCAATTTTGTACGATTGGCATATTTCAAGTCATGCTCATTTTCTTCAATTTCCAATGCTTGGATACCGAATGGTCTAGTATTTCATCATCAATGACATAAATTTTACTTTTGTCTCAAGCTTTTTTACTGGAAGATATAACTTTGAAGCTGCTTGTGTCTGTTTCCCTCTTCGAAATTTAATTTTTTGGTTAGTTTTTTTTGTTTTGGAATTCTCTCCATTCTTGAGTTTCAGTGATCAAAAGAACAATGAAAGGTTTAATGGTATAACAGAGAAACTTGAACTTATCATTGACCCCGGAGTAGCAAAAACAGTCAGATCAAACATGTTTTGTAAAGAAATCGAAAAAAAAACACTAGTTTGATCTGACTGTTTTTGCTGCTCCGGGGTCAATGATAAGTTTAAGTTTCTCTGTTATACCATTAAACCTTTCATTGTTGTTTTGATCACTGAAACTCATGAGATTCACATACAAACATGGATATTTTCTTCATTTTGTTTCTCAGTTTTTTTCTGGTATATTGCCTTCTAATACTACGTTCTCTTTATTTTGTTTCGCATTTCCTTCTTTCTTGAATGCCCCCCTTAACTCTTGTTGTCAAATTTTTCCAAAGGGTTGGTAAAACTTTACGATATACATTTTGCCTGGCCAACCTCAAAATTTTTCTAAACGCGCCTTTGGCGCCAATATAACTAATTTTGAGGGGGGAGCGCGCGCCAAAAAGGCATTTTTTGTCAACATTTTCCAAAAAGTGCCCAAAAACGCCGTTTTTTGGCCTGTGTTTTTTTTTGCCAGCTGCTCAGAAAATTTGTGACAAAATAGGGTCCTTAGAGTATTTTTGGAGAGCTCCGAAAATCAAATTGGTCGACCTAAAAAAAAGGTCCGGAAAAAATCAAAATTTTTCGAAAAACCCCCCTTTGAAAAATTTCTGCGCACGCCACTGTTTTAGACAAACAAGTCTTCACGCTATTCACTGAAACTACCTCCTGTTACCACTGTTTTTATAACGTTAAAACAACTGATCTGTTACGTTTAATTCACTCAATGATTTTAAATTTTTTCTTTTAGCTCCGTAAAGTCAAAGTCATCATATGAACAACACAAGATAATAGTATAGCTAACATTGTTGGCTGTGTTGCAACATTTTCAACTTCTCGATTTTGTTTCAATTTGCTTCGAATTTTTCCGAAAAGGATTTTTTTCAGCAAATGGGCTCCTGTAAGATAAATTCTATAGACTATAGCTTCTGCAGCTGTTTTTAATTCTGTTTTTACTTTGTCGCACTTGATGAGATTCTACGCTGTGCTAAAAATTTCTGATCACAGGTTCGAAAATTCTTGAAGCGTAGCAACGAAATGGAGTTGGGTGGGTTGTTCCGCGCAATTTTTATTGCCTCTAAGAATGCCTTGTAGTGGTCTTTCTTTTGTAATATGAAATTGAAATGGTTTTAATCGTTATTTGACAAATCTGTAGTGTCACTGAAAGCTGGTCTAATTGTTTTCTCTGACTCAATTTTCGTTCAATTTGCTAGTGTAGTGCTGGATGGCAAGGGTTTTCCTGCTAGGGGTGGATGGCAATGACGTCGTCACTACTAATCGTATTTTCAATTGATTTGGCTGATTTCGAGAATTTAAAATTATTTAATAACAATTTGAGCTTCAACTATTTTCAAACGCTGCTAGTTCGCAAAAACCAAAAAAAAAATGAAAAAATTTGAAAATTCAGAACAAACAAATTAAAACTGTTTTTTTTTAGTCTCATCTATGGTCCTTCGTTTTCGTTGTTATCTGGCTCAATTTTTTTTGGACAAAAGTTTCTACCAGCTAAGTACCTGACTAAAAATATTTCATTTTAATTCGCATCTAGTAATCTAGACACTCCCAGTTTCAAGTATAATTGCAATGAGGCTTGATTTTGAAGTACTTTACTCGTAATTTTGTGGAGCTTCGTCCTAAAAAGTATCTGCTGGCCAAGTGGCGATATTTTAGTGAGGCATGTGAAGCAGAGAAAAAGGCAGTAAAATTTAAGATGGAGGGTATATAAATATTCATCCAATGGAGGATGTGTTGCTTTTTACCCCCAAGCACTTTACCACACATCTTAACCTATGTGGTTTCACCTTTCTACTATTCTTACTTTTTCCTCGTTACCCCAGTTTTATTTTTATTTGAATTACGGCTGTGACTTTGCAACAGAACGGTCATGCCTGAGTTGGGCAAGGTTGGACTCGATTTAGTTTGCGGTAAAAGAGGCATATAAATGGCTGAAAAAAAAACTGTCCTCTGATAGTAAATATAATTTGGATATAGTTTACGGTTGAGTTTTTGAAAGCCGGAAAAGGAAGCAAACGCAGTTTTTGTTGATACTTGATACTGACATCGTGATTAACCAAAAAAACTAGAGCAAACAATGCATTTGAGGCTTTTGGTATATTTTTGCTCGTTTTAGCCTGTGTATTGCACATTTTCTGCATTGGCAAATAATCTCAGACTATTATGATGTATAACCCATCAGCAGGCCTCGGATTTTTGTTACATAACTATTTTTTTGTAGTTAACTATTTATTTCTTAGAAAATGGAGGAAATAAACTAATCAGAGAGATGCGCTTTATTTTTTTAACTAATTCTAATTACTAATTATACCTAATTCTGTTGAAATTCTCCAGAAAACCGATATTTTGTCAAATTATACGCCGATATTGACATCTTCACCAAGGCTTGTGATCACATGGTGCGGGGAGTTGGTTAGATGCTGCAAATTACAAAACTGAAAATTTGAAAGCTCTGATTGAAACATGAAATACTCGGGTTTTCTCTCAGTCTCGCTTCATTTTTAACAGAAAATTCGGTGAAAAGGATTATTTTATTTTCCGTTACTGCTGCAAATTTTTGTAAAAACGCTAGTTTTAATTAACTTTTCTTCAACTAATTCTTTGGTTTTTAAAAAACTATAAGAATCTAAAATGTTTTTTAAACTAAATACCGAGGACTGCCCGTCATTTAGGGGTGTAGCCTAAATGATCCTTGAAATCTGTAGATTTCAAGAGGAAATATAATGTGATAAATAAATATTCCGTTTTCTTCGAAAGTCAGTACAAAAATTTCTTTTTGTTCACTTGATTTGCATGGTACGCTGCAGTATACATTGGCTTCAGATTAATTGCTCACAAACAATGGTAAATCGTCTGCGTATATTTTTGCTCAAAAGTGACTCAGTTTGTTGACTGCTTTGTACCATTTTTGTTCTACTAAATTAGTCCGCATGCTTGTGACGCAGATAGATAGCAAAGACATTAAAGAGAATTTTTAATCACTTCCTAAGTTTCGTACGTCCCCGGTTGTTGAATTGGCGTCAGAGATAAAATTATAACATCCAAATTTGGCCTATGAGTCCATTGGGCCCAATTATTTATCTATGTCGATTAGTTTTGTGCTAATTCAGTTTCGACCAATAATATTAGTTGCCAATAAACGCCAACAATTTCTATAATGACGTCTGACGTGTTATTTAAAAAAACGGCAGTAAAACATTCACACAATAAGGGCAAGCCTTGTTCTTCGTTGAAATTGTGAGTAGACCAAATTATTAGCAGAAGAGGATCTACTTAACAATCTCTCCCCCTCCTATTGTATCTACTAAAGAATCTCCCCCCTTTCTTGAAGATGGGGGGGGGGGGGAGATTGTTAAGTAGATCCGCAGAAGGTTTCATTGTATCAAAGTGTTTAGGATAATTTATATTACAAAAAATACCACCTAATAGGATGGTATATTCTCACCCGAGTACTACGAAACGCCTCACCGCCTCTCATGAATTATAATTAATGGGAATCTTTTTACATTTATTTTTGTTGTAAAATATGATGTTTCGTATTCCGGAATAGCCGATATAAGGATTTTGGAGTGGTCTAAAATGATCAAAATTCATTGTTAATTTTTTTTAGGAACAACGGCGGGTTTTTTCACGAGAACGAAAAATTATTGAAAGTGTTTTTTGGCGAAGTTTGGTGAATGTTGAATTTTTTTTGGTAAAATTCATTTTGGAGGTTGAAAGTTTAACATCAAAATATTCGAATAAGGGTAACAAATAACAAAATTTAAATAGCTGCGCATTTTGAATCAAGAAAAGTAGTATGCATTCGCTGCTCTTCAGATTAATGGTGCTACAGTGGAACAGTTGTCACTCTTTCCACTCTCACCTTTCAACCCTCCTCTTCTTCACCCCTTCTATTTTCACCCCACCTTCAAATGACGTCATCATCACTCCCTCCCACCTTCAGCCAATCACAAGCACAGCCGGCCATCCTTAATTTGATTGGATGGCGAGCTCCTGTGAAGACAGTGCACAGCGACACTGACTGGCCCATAGCCGAAATCATACAAACCAAACCAGCAGCGACCTCGTCGGCCAATGTGTCTATCGGTCAAGGAGAGCAGAGAGACTCGTTATTGTATTACGTCCATTGGATTGAATTCAACCGACGTTTGGACGAATGGGTCGATCCCAGCAGAATAGAATTCTCCCAACTGAAGCCCCCTCCAACGACCAAGTCGAATAAGAAAAGCAATCACAACGCGGCTAATATACTTCATACGTCGACTAATGTCAAATCGGATACTCTACTGGTGGTCACATCTCGACCGGGATCTCCCGATGCGTCCGCTCCGCCCACTCCGGCGCCTAGCGTGGAGCAGCCGTTGAAGAAGAATAACAGTGTGCCAAATTTCAAACGGACATCATCTGCTGCAAGTGCAAATGCTGCGTCCGGCCGCAAAAGGTTTGTTTTGAGATGAAAATTAACTTATTCCAATGTCATTACTTAAGTTACTTGATAACTGATAGCATCTAGAGTCAAAGAAAAAATTAGGTATCAAATGTACTTTCACAGTACAGAAAAACCCACACAGAAAACGTACTTAGAAATATTTTGACTTGACAAGCTAATCCGTTTGGTAACAACCATGTATATAATTGCTGCGACAAAAAGCAGTATCTTATGAATGAAATTTAAGCACATTTATTCCGAAGATGAAATTTATCGGTATGTCGAACTTGGAAGAGGTACAAAATGAAGTGTTTTTCTATTCCAAGAAGTCGTAAAAACTTGAGTGCGGTTTCGTTAAGAAGCTTTAAAAGGATAGTTTTTTGATTTCAGGAAGAACTCCACTTCGGAAGTCGGAGGCGTCGATGTGCCTGAAAATGAATTCAGTCAGGGTCACCAGCAGGAGCAGATGGAAGTGGACGTCCAGGAGGGGTCAGCGGGAGGTCAGCATCAGGAGGCCAACACCACCCTGTCCAGTAGAGCACCAACTCCCGAACCGGCCATGAAGGCTCCTCGAACCTCAGGTGAGAATTTATTTACAAAAACTATCAAGTGAAAAAGAAAAAGTTATTAAAGTGGGATCTTTTTAAGAATAAACTGCCTATCATAGACAATTCTTCATTTCAAAAGAGCTTTAACGTGATATTTTTTTTCTTCGAAATTTGAAATTTTGATTTTTTCTTCGCTGTCCTTGTTCTTTTACATTTTTCCAACCATCTGTTGACTGTTTCAAAGGTTTTTAAGGTTGTTATGCCATGTTTTCAAAGCTGTTCGATTTCAAAGCTGATTGGAAATTGAAGAAAACTGACTGATACTCGAATCGAAGCTCATTTGTTTTTTTTTGATCGAATCTGGGTAATTATAAAACAGTTTATTATTGCGACTTAAAGAGTTGACAAAAATTTAGTAAGCAAGCCGCAGTTTTTTACGTTGTTAAACATTTGGTTTTTTTTGTTAAAAAAGTTCCATTTTTTGGTATTTTCTGTTTTGCAATCATGTTCTGCTGAGCTTGTGCAAACATTTGATTGTTCTGTTCAGGAAGTATGGTGGTGGACAAGTCGGGCGAAGATGTGGTGACTCGGATGAAGAACATCCGCACTGTGGAGTTGGGCAGGTACCGCATCAAGCCCTGGTACTTCTCGCCCTACCCACAGGAACTCACACTCCTCCCCTGTCTCTTTCTCTGCGAGTTCTGTCTCAAGGTTAGTCGTCGTCCACTCTTGAAATGCAAAATCATTTTTTTCATGGGAGAAATTACCCTGTGATACTTGGCTATGAATTCCAGAACTTGTCATTTCTCCCATGAAACAATTGATTTCGCATTTTCGGCCAAATACCCACTTTGTAATGATGTGTGAAAATTTTAAACGAACAAACTTTGGAACGCTTGACCAATAAAATCTGAAAGTTTTTGTTCACATTGATACTAGCCGAATGTTGTGTTTCCATGATATTTACTCGTCATTAGTTCGCTAAAATTATTTTTCGTTTCAGTACATGCGTAGTCAAACATGTCTCAAGCGCCACCGGGAAAAGTGTAATCTGTTCCATCCTCCGGGCTTGGAGATCTACCGGAAGAACAACATCTCTGTGTTCGAGATTGACGGACGCAAAAACAAACCGTACTGTCAAAATCTGTGTCTGTTGGCAAAACTGTTCCTGGACCACAAGACACTTTATTACGACACCGATCCTTTTCTTTTCTATGTCATGACCGAGTGCGATAAGTATGGGTTCCATACTGTCGGATACTTCTCGAAGGAGAAAGAGAGTTCTGAGGACTTCAACGTCGCGTGTATACTCACGCTTCCTCCCTATCAACGGTCGGGATATGGAAAACTGCTAATCGAGTTCAGCTACTTACTTTCAATCAAAGAAGGCAAAACAGGTACGCCAGAGAAACCACTTTCCGATTTAGGTCTGTTATCATATCGAAGCTACTGGACATCGGCAATTCTGGAACACATCATACCATTAAGACCGTCGTCCTTCCCGTGTGCTAACGGGTCGGGGTCAGGTCACCATAATGGGGCTAGCAACTCAAACGGAGGCAGTTCGGCAAGTGATGTCAACTGGGACACCTTTCCTGCAGTCACGATATCTCAGATAAGTGACGTCACTGCCATAAGAAGAGAAGATGTCCTTTCGACATTGCAGTACCACAGTCTACTGCAGTACTACAAAAATCAGCATGTCATAGTGTTAAATGATGATATCATAGCACAGCACAAGAAGAACATGGAAAAACGGAAGGTCCGCATAGATCCCAAGGCACTCGTTTGGTCTCCGAAAGACTGGAGTCGCAGAGGGAAGTGGTGATATGGAAAGCAAATCGAAGAAAAGCTACTTCAAAACTGATTCTCTAAACTAAATCTTCACAATTCTGCTAGAAAACTAAACTCAACATGGTGCATTGAATCAAATTTGTCGTTTTCAGATAGTTGTGTACATAGTAATTGATTTGTCGTTTTCCTTTCGGTGTCATTAGAACACGCAAAAATGTCTTCAAATTCAAAATTAAACTATTTTGTATTAGTTGTTGTCTTCACAGAACGGTACTAACATATGATCAAATTGGGGGACGGAAAATTAAACGGCAAACCAATAAGAGTTCTCTAAGAAAACGGAATTTAGACAACATTTAATTGCAAAACTAGCATTTTGGACTAGCAGCAAATGGTCAACAAAATTCATCACCTAAAACAAAATTTCACAAATACAAAAACAATACGCTATCCCGTTACTTATCGAAAAAGTTATTATCAACAGTTAATAAAGCATTATTCCAATTTTTGAAACACATTTATTATACAGTAATGACATGTAAAAGTTTGATTTCATTTAAGAAAACGTAACCGAAATTTAGTTGTGTCGACGTCTAGATTTGATTTTTTGGTCACGTGTAATTTGCTAGACGCCACAATACAATTCAATTTGGTCTTTTATCTAGTAAATGTGGCTTAGCATCGACTTCTATAGTTTATCTCAAATTGGGTTGACCTAAGGTGAAAAATGACGAGCAAAAAACTTGATTAGATTTTCAACAGAAATTTTATAGTGCAATTTTTGTAGCAAAAATCTGACCCAAAACTTTACCCCAAAAGTTTCAATAAAAAAATTCACCAAAACTTCAAAGTCAAGCACTGACAGTTATATTAAAGTGAGTCTCTTACGTAACCCAACATACTTTAAGAAGAGTAAATTCTCCGAAAAAAGTTGAGCAACGTTTTATGAGAAAAAAGTTGAGCAAACTTGATGTTTTATATAGTAAAAACGACCTTTTTTGTCAATCAAACAAACATTAAAGTTTGTTTGGCTTTAAAAAAAGCTCAATTTGGTAGAATATGTCAGTGATTGACTTCATAGTTTTGCATAATTTTTGATTGACTCAAAAGCTAAAACATCCGTTTTTAGGGTAAATCTTTGGGCACGTATTTTGCAAAAAATTTTACACCATCTTTTTCTGCTGCAATTCTAAGCAAGTATTGTCTTCATCTGTTTTTGTCTGAATTCCACCCAATATGAGAAAAACGCGTTTTGTCCGGATGATTTGAATCAGCAATGTTTTTCTTGTTCGTCTACTTTGCTTGACTAATTTCCTAGACCCCTCATTAACACTAGGCAAATTCTCTCAAAACATGCTAAAGTACGTAGTTCAGAAAAATATCTCATTGCGCGAAAGTATGATTGCGAGAAAGTTATGTCAGTCAATCTGAATTTAGTTATAAAAAGCGGAAATAAATAAGGAAAAAAATTTAGGTTAGGACTGTATTGGGTCAAAGGGCGCTTATTGGTTGAAGTTTTTCGCGCAATTGGTCCGTTGCGCCCAAGAACAGCCTGCAGTGCAACAGTGCCAAAGTCTAACAGTGCCAAATAGCAAGTATCTCAAAAAAAAATTGTTGAACAGTGCCATAAACTATTTTGATTACTGTTTTTATTCCTCCCAATTAACTGACAAATCATCTATTCGAATGGACGGACATTGAAAAAACAAAATGGCCCTTTTAATTGATACCGCTTGCTTGAAAAAACCAAAAAATCCCAAAGCTCGGCGTCCTAATAATTTTTGTATAGATAAGTAACTTAGCTATTTGTCAAAGTTTTTCTCGGCTTAGCTCCAAAACAAAACAGTATTCAAACAAATTGTCAACAATTCGCAAACAGAATTCAAAACTTTCAAATATCATCTATTTTGAAAACAGTTGTATTTCAGCATTCTTGAGTGCCCTCAAAATCCGGCACCTCTATGACAATTTTGTTTTACGGGGTGCCGGAAATGAGGCAGGTGGCACACTTCAGGCCGAATGATAAAAATAGGGACTTCAAACCGAAAATTAAAATATAATTTTTTTAACGGACTCAAAGCACCTTAACCGACAGTTCTTAATCATAATTCATGCAATCAGTCGTTTAATAGTTGTTTTAAACAAAGAAATCTATTTGGAAATTTACCCTGTTCAAGTGACTACGCCAAAAGTTTTTTATTACAAATTATAAAGTTTCTCAGAAAAATTTATAATGGCCCTTTTAATTGATACCGCTTGCTTTGGCACTATCAAGTAATTTTGGAAATTTACCCTGTTTAAGTGACTACGCCAAAAGTTTTTTATTACAAATTATAAAGTTTCTCAGAAAAATTTCAAAATTCTGATTTTCTAACCACTCATTCAAACTTTTTGATTTAAAAAAAACTCTGTCAAATCTGAGAGTTTGGAACCAATGAACAAAAAAATTTTGTCCTCCGAAAAGTCAAAGACTTGATTTTTTTTGCCGTTTTTTGAAATTTCTCAAAAAACACTTTCCACAAATCTGATATTTTGGGATCAATGAATATAGCAGAAATAGCGAGTTAGGTGAATCTCCCCTTCATTAGCAGTTATGCTCAAATTTTTTACTACAAAATTGTTGTGGCCCTCGGAATAGTTGATTACTTGACTTTTTTAACCGTTTTTGAAACTTTTTTGATTTTCTTATGAGATAACCTAAAAAATTTGAGATTTTGGGAAAATGGAGAGTACTAGTTGGTGGAAGCTCCCCTGACTTGGCCGCTATGCTCATTTTTTTAACAAAAATTTTTGTCCTCGGAAAAATCAAAATTGTGGTAGAAATCATAAATGAACGAACAAGTTGTTTTACAAAAAGTAATGACACTCAGAATAGTGTTCTGATTTTTCTCAAAAACATGTTTGAAAGAAGTTTGTTTCAGGGAAAACTCTAAATTCTCAAAAAGTTTAAGTACTACTGATTTTCTTAGAGAAACGACTAAGGTTTTAACTGAAGCCCAATTTTTAAATTTTTAAATTGATCCATTTCATCCTGCATCAATACCACAAAATTGGAGAAAATGAAACAAGTACCTGCAGCTTTAGATGGGCTACTATTACTATAGTTGAAAACTGCTCTGTGGTTTGTAAGTTTATCAAGTCTGATATTGAAAGTTTCTTACATTAAACGGGTTTGGCTTATGTTATTACGGCTTAGTCAGCTCATGTTAGCTTATGTTGAGTCGTTTTATTGGCGATTGTTTAAAAAATTTTGCTTGTTCCGGGAGGGTAAGCTTCAAGCTTTTCACGACTACAGTTTGTTTTCGGCTCAACGAAGGTTCACCCGAGTTTTTCCCCTAATTTGCCCTCGGTCATTAACTCTCAATACTTGCTAACAATGTTTGTGAGATTTTCCCGAGGCAAAGGTTTAAAGTTTTTCTTGATAAATTTTTTCGTCAAGTAATTTTTTCAGCTTTGTTTTTCAAAAATAATGATTTCTTGTAATCCAGTTCGCAAATCAAAAACCGGTTGATTCAACGACTTAAAAAGCTTCCGCTCAGTTTAAAAGGTAAACAGTTGTTAAAATTGATTAACTTTTTGATACAATTACAAAAAACTAATTTATACCCATTTTAGCTCTATTTTCATGCCTTTTGCAAAGTTTAAATTTCGATTTGAAGTACGTTCGACTTGAAGTCCCGTCGGCTTGTTGGGTTAGATCCATTTTCACAGTCTGGTAAATAGTTAATTTATAATCGGATTGTATATCATTTTCAATTAGGTTGTTCGAACGGATTGTATATCATTTTCAATTAGGTTGTTCGAATAGAGTGATGCGGTACCGAATAACCGGAGAAGTTCGTAACCCTACAGTGCTTGGTAATTTTGACAGTCTTAAGCTTGGCTTTTTCTTAAGATTTCATAGTTTGGAAAGCGTATAAAATACTGAGTTGGGATTTAAATAATGCATTTTTAAAACAGTATTAGCTAAAAGGACAAAAATCTGTATAGCTTTATTTAGCTCTGTCAGGTACAGAAGTGAGACATAGTTTTTTCTTCGAATATTTTGATTGTGTATTTTTGTCGCTCTTTTCAGAAGTTTTTTTTTGACAGCGTTTGACTTTAGATATTTGGTTTTGTGAGGCGAAATTTCGATTAGGCAGGACAATTAGTAACATGGTTTCAGGCACTTAGAATTAAAAATAGAGAACAATTTGTAACAGTAGATTCAGTAGGCCAACACTCATTCATCCACTATGTTTATTTCAAATTTAAACAACCCTTGTTGTTCTAAATGTCTCAAATGTCCAAGTGTTTCTAGAATTCGAATATAATTTTTCTGTTCTGACTGTGCTTGTGCATGATACGATTGAAGTTCACGCTTAGCTAAAATCCGAAGTTTCCAATGCGTCTCATGTGGTTAATTTTCGATGGGGGTGCGGTTGTTCTTGAGTGTAACTTAGTGGGCATCTCCACAATTTTTCTGTTTGAGGTTATATCAGAATTTTTATATTTTTACCGTTTTGTGACTTTTCGACAAAGCTTAATCAAAATATAATTTACTTGTACTGAGTTGGCATGGATCTCTAACTCATAGAGTAAATTCAGATAGGGTACAACGTCTGCTCGTCACGCTCGTCATCTTATTTTCGACCGGATAGACTCGTGCAACTTCTTAGTCTAATACCGATCTTAATATTACTCTTATATCTCTTAGTCTCAATAGATCTAGAGTATAATGGTTTTGTTACGAGTCGGTCTCTTGGAGAAAGCAACTAAGTTGCAAGTTAAATTAAATTTGCTCTGGTACTGAAATTACAAGTAATTTCAGCACTTACAAATAAGTGGGTTGTTAGTTTGATGGAGTGTGATTGGTTAGTCTTTAATATTTTATAGGGATAAAATATCTAAATTATAACTAATAATAAATTATAGTTTGTGTCTGGTTCCACCCATCCGGGGTTTACAGAGTTTTTTTGTTCTTTGACTTCTATCTGTAATGAAGGATGGATGATGGTCGTTTGTATTTCGCGAGCATCATTTTAATTCCGTTCTCGGAGGAGAAAGCTCCAGGAAGCTGGAATCGTAGATGTCATTCTGTCATTCTACAATGACTGTGACCGCCAAAAAAATCAATCTGATTTCCAAATGGTTTGTTATGATCGTTTGTTCTTGTTCGGCGGAGATTTATATTTCGATCTTGTTTGGGAATGGCGTGAAGCTAGAGTTTGGAGGGAATGCCTCGTAACTCGGATCTGTACGTTTTGAACATCGAGGTGGTGATTGGTCTGATTCAATGAAGTCCTTTGCTGCAATGTCATGTCATATTTCAAATCATTTGAGTTGTGATTGTGGGCGGCATATCGGTTGTGTTTAGCCACTCTATACACAATCACGAAGACGAGCATCAAGGAACTAAGACGAACCCATCACACTCAATCCACAGAGTGGCTAAACACAACCGATATTCTAATTTTGAAGAAGAGTAGGCTACTCTGTTTTATCGGTGGTCTTTTTTCACTTTTATATATCATATGAAAAATTAATTTCTGATTTAATCTACTAAACCAAGCTTTTCTATCGCTTGTTTTTCTGCACAATAATTATGAAAAAGGATGTGTGTATTTATGGAGAAGATTTTCAATTTCTGTGGAAGTATGAGGTGAAATTTTTTCCTGTTCTTGAATTACGAGATTTAAGAACGTGATTCAAAGCGAGCACAGCGAGCGAGTATATATTATAGTTGGACAAAAGCTTATATTCAAATTGTTTAGTGAAAGTGCTGACAACAATTTTAAAATTTTTGCTAAATTACTTATGATGGAAAAATAAACTGAAACATTTCCACTACTTTCATTGCTTATTAAGCCTGCTTACAGAAAATTTAGGCAACTGCCTGTTTTCGAAATTTCACTGCCTAATGAGATTTTTTTAACAACTTAAAAAAGCTCATTCATCAGGCGAAAAAATTTTGATTTAAATTGATTGTTTTTCATAGCATGATTCAGTAAGTTTAAAAAATCAAAACGTTTCTAAGCCATCTGACTAAGCAATGAAGTTGATTTTATATTGATTAGAACCGAACCAAGTTGCACAAGTAAAAATTGTTTTTTTTCTCTTACTTTAACAAAGGCTCCTAAGACTTAAAACATTGAAACAAATTATAAATCAGGTTATTCGATCGGGGTCTTTTTCTTTAAATCTAAAACAACCGTTAATTGTTTAAGTAAATTTTGTATGTCCAAGCTACACTTTTGGATGTCTTTTCTTACTTTAACCTTACCAAAAAGTTACTAAATTTGAAGAAGAGTAGGCTACGCTGTTTTATCGGTGGTCTTTTTTCACTTTTATATATCATATGAAAAATTAACTTCTGATTTAATCTACTAAAGCAAGCTTTTCTATCGCTTGTTTTTCTGCACAATTATTATAAAAAAGGATGTGTGTATTTATGGAGAAGATTTTCAACTTCTGTGGAAGTATGATGTGAAATTTTTTCCTGTTCTTGAATTACGAGATTTAAGAACGTGATTCAAAGCGAGCACAGCGAGCGAGTATATATTATAGTTGGACAAAAACTTATATTCAAACCGCGAACAACTAGTTCTACTCGAAAAAACTGGTTTTCGAATCTTCATGAGCTTTTTTGGCAATAGAATATTTCTTTGAAATAGAAAAATTATTCTGAAAAACTTTTAGAAAGTAAGGAAAGTTTTTTAAACCTGTGTTGATTTTTTTCAATTTTACCCTTGCGATAAGCAATTATATTGGAATCAAGTACTAAACTTTTTTTCCCGTTTATAACTTTAGGCAGATTTTGCATCAACAACCGCTCATGGAATTTGTATCTTTTCAAAATTCTGAACTAATTATTGACCCGGGATGAGGTCCCAGTCTCATTTCCAAACTTTATGGGTCGCTCCGCATCCAGATTTAGACCCATACCCAGTCTGAAAATCTGGTCATGAGTCAAACGGTGGGTCGCGAAAGTCTGGACATACCAAAGTTTGGTCACAAAATTCTGGACATGCGTCGCGGAAGTCTGGACATACCATAATTTGGTCGCGAAAGTCTGGACGCACACTTTCAGATTTTTGCGACTTAATCTCAAACTTACGCGGTCAAATTCTGGTACATCCAGTTTTTCGCGACCCATGTCCAGATTTTCTCAACTCATTTCCAGGCTTTTTATACTAAAACAAGCGGCGAGACATTGCAATTTAGTTCTGGGTCCGAATGTGGCGCAACCTACGATGCGACTTTATGTCCAGACCTTCCAGCTCAAACTCTCGGCGCGACTATGCAATTTGGGTCTCGATCCAGATGCGGCGCTACCACGGCGCGAATGATGTCCAGGCTTTCGGGACTCAAGTTCTCGGTGCGACTATGCAAATTAGGTCTGGATACGGTTCGACTTACGGCGCGACTTTATGATCAGACTTTCCATATTAAAACTCTCAGTGCGACTATGCATTTTAGTAAGTCTGGATTTGGACTTACTTTTGAGACGCAGGTGGAGACGGTGCAACTTTTGCGACCAAAGCGAAGGCGGCGCGACTTTTCAGACTAAGGTGGAGACGGCGCGACCAAGAACCGATTCTTCAAGACCAAGGTGAAGTCTGAAAATGGCATTTTTGGTCGCGCCGGCCAGGCTGGTCAAGCCGTTGCATTTTGAGTCGCGCCGTCCTGAAAATGGCTGAGTTTGGTCGCGCGGTCTCCACTTTGGCCGCGAAGGTCCCGGTTGAGTTTTCGAAAGTCTGGAAATGGCAAATCTTGGTCGCGAAAGTCTAGACATTCAATTATGGGTCGCGATATTTCTGTCGCGCCATCTCCGTTTCGGTCACGCAAGTAGCGAAGGATCATTGTGGTCGCCAAAGTCTGGAAATTTGATAGTTTTCGTCGCGAAAGTCTGGACTGGACATGCCTAAGTTTGGTCGCTATAAACTGGACAGCCGAAAATTTGACGCGAAAGTCTGGACATGAGTCTGGAACCTCGACCCCGCAAAACAATCTTTTTTATCGGTTGCCTCTTTATCATTTGTTTACCCATGAACATCAGGGCAATTAGCTTATAGTTTAATCGTAATTCAAAAATCTTAGAAATAAATCTTATTTCTAACTAAGGTATTTTTTTTAACTTGCATAAAAATTTGTAGGAATTGAAACTTTGTCACAAATCATTATTTTTGCTTTTTATTGTTTTTTTGTTTTAAATATAATAATGATCTTGATACGCAAATTGAATATTGCGTCTATTTAACTCAGTTTTTTCTTCTTAGCTGTAACGAAGGTTCGTAGGACTTCAAAATGTTATTTTTTCGTGCTAATTCATCACATTTTTTTATCTCTTCGGTTTTGTTTCTATGTCACTTCAGTCGGTATTGTAGCAAAAGCAATACCAAATTTCTCAAAAGCTGAAGCAAATTTTGAATTGACGTTTAAGGAATTTAAAAACAGCTGTTAAGTGAGCACTTGAGGTGATTATTAGTTTATTGGCAGCAGGCAGTGAGTATATTTGGCGAGTTTACTTCAGTGGAGACGATCCGATTCCGAAGTAGGACTTGTAAGCTCCGAACGGAGTGCCAAATTTAACGTGCGCTAAAAAGAAGAAACATTAAATCAAAATTTGTTTCCTTGTCAAAATGAACAGAAGCGCATAATTAAATCATAATAAAGCAAATCAAGCATTAAAGTGAACATGACGCGCAGAACAAAAAAGAGAAGATCTTACTACCAAACTCAAAAGGAGTTTTTCTCTCGACAAACTTCGGTAAAAGGTTCGAACTTTCTGAGTAATACTGATTGACCCCAATTCATTAACAACTAATCCATAAGTTCCATAAATTGAGCGTATGACCAAATGATGGTCCTATTTTTCTAAGATGTAAAACACATTACGAGCATCCACCTTATGGATGCGCCTAATTTTTTGTCAATTATTGACTGCAGAAAAGACGCAAAAAGCTTTATTATGTTAATGTTCTCATTTTAAAAACTGCGTAATAACTAAAAGTTATGTATATTTTGAAAAAAAATGATTATCTGTCAGACCTTAAACAGCATTTTGACTCTTGGGTGATATTATACAGAGCTGCTTTTAATCCAAGTTATATTAACCCTGATTGCATTTGAGAAATTGGGTAAATAGTTCTCTTTTTCAAATCCGCTGTGAAACTTTTAAAATCTCAATACATTATTGAAAAAAAAAGTGAAACCATATTTTTGAACCGTCGCGACTTTCGAAAATTTAATTATCGGAAAATGCAATTTGACTCTATTATCCGAACTGGAATTTCATGGATAAAAATTGGTTTAATTTGCGTTTTATTGTCAGTATCCATAAAAAGGAAAAATTAAAAGTGTCCACAAAATTATCCATTAAATAAGGATTATAAATCTATAATTAAAAAAGCAAACAATAAAAATTGATTATTTTTGTTCTGACTTTCGAAGAAAGTGACGGAATATTTAGGCTCGGGTTTTTTTACAGGCAAGTTCCGTTTTTTAACTAGCCATTTTTGATGGAAAATATTTATATCATTTAAAAAAAGGTATTGTTATTCTGAGCTCAAATTTAAAAACTTCACATGTGATGATTTTTGCAAAGTTATGGAAGTTACAGATTGGCAATTGGGAAAATTGGACGATCAACGCGCAAAATATTTTGTGCTATTAATGCGTAAGCAGAAGTTTAATCCGTCGCAGAATTTTTTCCAAATTGAACCGAGAACCGAGGCGTGCTGTTTAGTCTATTCAATACAATGCTGCATGCGAAACCTATCCTTTTGTTCTTCACATAGAGTTTGTTAGATAATTTTTTTGAAATCTTCATATTTTAAAGCGGAGACTATTGCATAGACCCTAAAAAGCAGTGGGAATATTCAGGGCTTTGCCTTGATACTAGCAGTCTTGTTTATTTTTATAGATAAAAATACAGAAATTTTAGAATTGGTTTTTTCCACTTTATTGAGATTCTTTGCACGTTTCAAATTCAAATTGGTTACATTTCGTTCAATTCGCGCAACTTCGATTTTTTTTCCTCGTTTTTTGTTTAATTTTGTTACTTTCAATCATTTTCTTTATTTATAGAAGCTTAAGGTGGGAGGAAAATTAGAGCCGAACAAAGTTTTTTGTAATCCAAAAATTCCCAAAAACTATTTTTTCCTTTACAAAACTAACATCTGTGGAGGAGAATAATTTTGTGTATATGAATGTTGTTTCACTAATATATATGACAACATTACTTTTTGCAGGAATTGAGTGCCGGAAAAATCCATTTTTTGGCCGAAATTTTGAAAATTGTATTTTGTTAACCTGTATTTTCAAAAAATAGTTAAAATCTGTCAAAAATTTTGGGGGTTTCAAAAATGTGGGGAGGGGTTGGTCGAAGGTGCAAATGTGGCGCAAGGGAATGGATTTTTTTTGCATTTCGAGATAGTTTAGAAATCGAGCAGGCCGTACACTCGTTTTGCAAAATTTTTCACGACGCGAAACAAGAATAAAGTGGAAAATAAATCCAATTTAATTGATATTCACTGGAAAATAATTATTTTTATCTTTGATAAAATAATTGATTAAAATCGATTTTTGTTTCATTTTGTTGTCTGGGGGCAACATGGGAAGCAATTATATTGTTTAGACCACAAAAATCTATTGTAACTGATTTCTTTTCAATTTTCCTTGATGCGGGTTGCTTTTCCTAGATGCGGGTTAAATGAGAAAACTAAATATCTAATTACGAAAAAAGAAAATAAAAATAACATTTTTAATCTTTTTTTCATTAAAAACATAGAAAATCAAACAACCTATAGAAAATTTTAAGCGGTTTAGGTTTTTTTTCACTGAAAAACTAAAAACAAGTAATGCAGGTTTTGTGAGTGTACGGAACTTTGTAGGTAGGACCCAAAAAATGCATGCTAGATCCTTGCTCAAAAATATTTTGACAGCCCTTTTGAGAGCATAAAACTCCAGAACCATTGAGTGTTATGCAAATTGACCTATAAAATGATGTGTTTAATTTAGTTTTAAATAAAATAACTTCATAAATAACTTGACACTGTGTTAAAAGTTTTGAAATTGCTTTAAAAGGAATTGAGCTTTCTGAATATAAGAAATTAGCAAAACATCGAAGTATAAAATTTTTGTGATCGTAGCAACTGTATTTTAGTTTTTGAGGATGTTAGACACTCATTTTTGCGTCATGGGGAGTGAACCGGAATAATTGTTGTTACGAGGGATCCCAACAGCAGTCTTTTTCAGCATTTTTTTCAACTCTTGGATTAAAAAATATTGACTAACAAGGTCCTACCCTACTGTGGTTTCATCAAATCAGAAGTTACAACAGCTAGCTTTGAAACAAAAAACAAAAGTGCACCCGGATCAAAAGTTATGTTTTTGTAGTGTGCGTTAGTTTTTGGCAATTAATCTGATTTAGGGCTTGAAGGTAACTTTCTACATTTATTCTCCAGCAATTGGTCGACAATTCATTGTTGTGAAATTTTGATTTGAGATAAAAATTAAATGCTTACGGTCAATTGTGACGTGTTTGAAGTCAGGGTCTTCCCACCAGTAGATGTGACCTCGCTTCGCCTTCAGGTGGTAGCTAGATCAGAAATAAGTTTTAGGTATAAATTAAGCTCAGAAAAAGTTTTGTAACTTAAATTCAAAGTGGACGAACTTTTCAAAAAAAAAAATGAAAATTTGGTTCATTAAGGCATCTATTTTTGACCAATTTGGCTAAACACGTTTTCAGAGCCGCATTTATTACATTACGTATAACAAAATTGCGTAGTTTTGTCAATTTCACCTCACGAAAATCATTGAAATTAACCAGACTGCTCATATATTAGTGCAAAGACCTGAATGTTTATGAACCACTTTAAGGTAAAATAAAAGTTTTTCATTTTTTCATTCCTTTCAATTTATCCCCTCACGCTAAAACAAATTGCTTTGGGATAGCTTTAGCATCTTGTAAAGTATTACTACTGGCATCAATTCAATTTGGAACGCATTCATTCGCCGCTTAAAAACGCAATATACCGCGCGTTAAGTTTCCAAATTGACCAACTTAGCATTTTTCAAACCTTAAATTAATTTTATGAAAAAAACTATCACAAGTAAAAAAAAATCTTAATCTTCTTATTTGAGCTTAGAAAAATTATATCCCTCAGATGCTATAAAAATTTTTGTAGGAAATGCTTAGTTAAAAAGTCGAAAATTGATTGAATAAAAAACAACACAAGCTCAAACATTCCGCACTTTCCTTGAAATTCACAAAAATTAATTTATTTGAATTGTTTATCAGCTCGTGGCATGTATTCAACACGGTGCATAGAACAGAACAAAACATAGACAAAAAGTTCAATATACAAAGCAGTCAAAAAATCATAAAACAAACAAAAAATACAGCCCGATAACCGACTTCTTGGCAATAATTTGCTTTAATTTTTGTATGGAGTCATACAATCATTAAAACACAACAAATAAAACACAAAATATATTTGAAGAAGAGCTGGTGATTGATCCCAACATTCGAGACCTGTTAAAGACTTTTGTCCCGATTTTTGAAGCTTTTTTCTCCAGAAAAATTTCAACTTTTTAACTAGGAATTTTATATGGAACTTTTTTATATCAGCCGAAAGGTATTGCCGAATCTATTTCATTGGTGATTACTTTTTTGTAAAAATATGAAGGTTTGCCAATTTGGATAATTAAGGCTCGTTATATTTTGTGCTAGTAACGCTTGAGCGGAATTAAAATACGTCTTAGAAATAAATTTAATTTAAATTGAGGCATCATATTTGGTCTATTTAATGCTTTGCTTCATCTGAAATCTTAAATAGCGTGTGGTTATGGTTTCGAAGAAAAAAATTTCAAGAAATAATTCAAAATGTTTTCACTTATTTTAAAAAATTTCATCATTTTTTTTAATAGCGAACACTACTCAATAGAGCTTAAGAGGCAGTCAGATTATCAAGGCTTTGTCCTGATACGAGCAGTCTTGTTAAAGTGAATTTAAGCCGTTTTCTCTTCTAGGAAAAGGACCAACATACGAGGCGCTCAATTCTTCACAGACAACCGCTGTTGAGCCACTGCTTAAAAATTAAATGAAATTTTTTGGCTGTTTTTCTGATTCGACTAATGTGACCTGTTGTTCCAGACGTTGGTTTCTCTTGCACTGCTCCTCCTCCTGAGACTAGGGAAGTCCCTCCTCCTTATATGTATCTCCCCACTCATTCCCCCTCCCCCGACTGACGGAAGAGTACCTCTTTCCCAGCTTGTCATTGGAACGCCATCCCGCGAGAATCCTTGTTGCTGCTCTTGGGTTTTTGAGGTGCTCAGTGCAGCTGCTGTTTTTGGTCGGCTTACATAAGCAGTCTCTTGTTTTCTTGACTTCCAGCGGTCTAAATATGGACATTTCATGAACCAGTTTTCAGAACAAAATGCTCTAAATACAACCGTTGAAACCCAAGAATAATACCAAATCTACAAACTATCCATAGTTTTCTATCAGTAAAACCTCTGATGCGCTCTTAATTAAGACTTCAGCCCGAATGTTTGGTTATTAACTATCGGGGAGGGGGTTGCTAGAGATGGGTATCAACAAGTTTCAATGATTTAGTCGACCCTTTTTTAGGGTGAACAAATAAATTTGCTGAGTTCTCCTGAAAATCTAAAAGAACCCAATTTAGGCCAAATTTTTCCCACCGCAGGCAAAAATAGGAAATATGAAGTCAAAAATACAGTTTTTCTTTCTTTAGGGGTTGTTTTGACCAACGTATAGCTTTTTTTTCGGCGCGCGTTCACCCTAAAACTTGGTATATAATGACACCAGTAGCAGCAGCTCAAATCTAGATGCAAAAAAATTCCAACAGGTCCTCCTTTGGCTCCAATATATGCTAATTTTGAGGAGAGCGCGTGCTGAAAAAACACATTTATTAGGTCAAAACTTTACAAAAACAGCTCAAAATTGGCTCGAAAAATCAAAGTGACAGACCTAAAAAAGGTAGATTTTCAACCCCTCCCCCGTCGAAAATTTCCTGCCCACACTGCTGATTGGCGAAAAGAATATATTCAGAATAAGTTATGTTTAATTGGTCGGTCAAAAAATGGGGAACCGTGAAGGTTAGGGTTTCAATTGAAGCTTCATTTGAGGCGGAAGCAATAATTACGGCTTCCATGTAACAAATGTTTTCAGAATTTATTCAACTTTTCATTAGGTATCCAAACCTGTTTCTGGCAGAGCAATTGGGAATCTTGGCAACAGTCCTTCCGATTTCAGAACCTAGAACAGCGACTGGATGTTTCTGCGACCAAGTTTTAATGAAATATTCACCGAATCAAAATGGAACTCGTAATTAAATTTTAAAGCTCAGTAATTTTCTTGGCTCTTCTAAGTTTAAGCTCAGCTGCAGAAAGTTACGACAAACTAATAGGTTTTTGATCAACTGCAAATTTTATAATCGTTCCGTTATATATAAGAAACAACTAATTTTAAGCTTAAAAAGTAGGCGTGATTAGAGAGTTGGAAGAAACAAAAAGTATCGCGAAGCCGTCTCAACTCCCCTCAGTCTTCATTTTGGCCCAGTGGTCGTTGCCTGGTCTAGGGGTGTGCATCGCAGGCTCCCAACTGCTCCATCTAGAAAACCTGAAACATCAATCAATCACATAACTACCTCAGCCACCATTGGAATTTTTATCGCACGTGCTTCACTTTGTTACAAAAATTGTGCCTACAGAGAATTTCTTGTTGAAAAATAAGTGCTTGTCGCCTCTTTGAGTACAAATTACTATAGGTTGTTTAATAGTTTCATTTGTCTAAAAATTTATCGGCCGCGTACTTCTTTTCTGCAAAGCTGTGTCTTCGGTTTCTTACCGGTGTTTCAGCGGGACGCATCTGTGGGTGAAATTTTTTTCAAGCTCAGAAAATTAAGATTTTGTAAATAATCAATTCATAATTTTGGGTTATTTTTCGAGTACATACTTTTCTGGAAAAGTTTATTGGCTTTACTGTCCTTTTATGATTTGGGGAGGGGACTATACTAAACATATTCATTCTGTCTCATTCTATCTCGGTTTACGGACCGCCCATAGGGTACCCATTTGCTATCTACTTTTGACGCTCGAACTCTGAAATTTAAGGAAAGAGTGAGCACAAAAAAATCAAATTTTTGATCGAAACATACTAGAAAGTGTCTAATTACAACAGCTTAGGCTTGTATTCTTGTGAAAAACTTGAATGCGGCACAAACTTTTCTCGTCTTTTTCATCTTTGAGGAGAGCTTGTAAAATCATTTTTGCTCACCTGAACAAGTATTGTTTTTTTAGTCGCCTATTTTTAGGGGATTTTAGCTTCCCCCGATAAAACTCTACGTATGCGCATGGGATATAAATTGAGAGGTTATAGTTTTTAAGTTTTTAAACAATCCAACCATTTAAAAAAGTTTGATGGAGTACAAAATCTCCAATTATCCTTTTCTCCTCATTCAGTTAGCAAATTTCGCGGAGTTCACGTAGTTGCCATTTTATATGTTCTTTTGAGGTACAGAGTTTTAAGTTCTGAATTCATAGCCTTGCAGATTGAGATTTCTGAGAAATAACAATCAGTGAAAAAAGTAATCATAAGTTTTTCATTGAAAAAATCTTTTTGTTATTTAGTTTTTGATGTCTGATACAATCGACATTGCTTTCAACCGAGTAAACGAACAAACTTTTTTCTTTGAGTTTTTCTTATTTTCTCTGCAACTTTTCACATCAGGTTCAGTAAAATTTTCACAAATTTTATCATGTGAAAAAAATTATTTCGTTAGCCTCCTAGATAACAGTTTCAGTGGCGTCCTTCATGATAGAAGGACCGACTGTTGGAGTATTATTCTAAGTTATTTTCAGCCAATCAGAAGTGAGTGTTCAACAACCTCAAGGAAATTGCAAAAATTTCGAAGAAAGCAAACAAATCCAGGTGATTGCAATTAGTATTGACCGAATAGAAAAAAAGCAGATACACGGATTTTCAATTAATAGGAAATTGAAATAGGGCATTGAAAAAAACTGAAATTGTTTTAACAAAAATAAAAATTGAACTGTTTTGCTGCTATAACTCATTTTCTGTAATTAGTGACTTCAGTTTTGTGCTAAACTCATTTAGCCAGAAGGAACGTCCAAACCATTCACGTTGGTGAAAAGTTTTTCATCATTCGGTCCCTCCATTATGCATAAGAAAACGATTACTTTGATCTCAGGCCCCAAAAATTTCTGCAGCTGTTATATAGCAAATTCTTTATAGCTTTATAGAAAAAACTGTTTTTTTTTTCTGCTCGATGGAAATTCTCATTAAGTACAAATTCTCATTGCGTTTAGTACAAATTAACTACTGTTTTTATTGCTCTTCAGAAAAAATCAATTTGAAAAACAAGCAGAGCACTTTCTGGAAGCAAAATAGTAAATTAGTGTTTCCGAGGAACTGAATTGCAGCTTTCATTTTGTTATGTTAAAAATCTTTTTTGGAAAAGATGGCAAAATCTGCCGTGTGATTTAAATTCTGCTGTATCTGCTGTTTAATAGAATATTCTGCTCATGAGCCGAATTCTGACATTTCTGTTAAATTCGGCTGTTAGCATAATCATTTGGGGCCTGCTTTGAGCTGCTCGGCTTCAAAACCGAAAAAAAATCTTAAGTTAACAATCATTCATTTCATAGATTGAAAACAAAAAGCAAACGATTTGTCACACGACTCTAAGTGGTGGTCACTAGCAAGTCTAATACTGAACATGTAGCTAGATTCGAGATCACTATTTTGACGACTGTTTGATCATGTTTGTTTGTTTTCTCGTTTAGTTTTTTGGGGGTTCTCAAATTTTTTGCAAATATTAAATTTTGCTCAAATTGTTCCATGTTGCGATGTCTGCTGGTATTCAAATTAATTTTAATTAAAAACTCACCCGACGCTACTGTGGGGCCGTCTTTGAGATGATAGAGCCGCCACGTGAAATCTGAAACAATTCAATCTCGATAATGATCTGACCTATGATCCGACTCTACTCGAACCTTGATTCGAAATATGATTCGACCCTCATTGACTTTCATTCAGTCGTCTCAAGGTGGGTCATAAACTAGGTAATCTTTTCAGTTGAATCTTAAGTCGTCGAGCACATCATTGCACGAAATCTGCTCGATGACTAAATTATTCGCTAAAAAATGAGGTCTAGCCCTGTTCATTTTTTATCGGCTTTTTATCCTAGAGTATTTAGTTCACAGATGAACTTAAGCGCTGTGGCCTTTTTTCTGTTGCTCCCATAGTCACCCTTTTTGCACGGTGACATATATGTATTAACATTGTAGTTTAAATGATGTTTTCATTCAATTTGGAACCAATTCAAAACAAGTATTTAATATCCAATTATATTCCTGATAACTATCACTGTAAAATATTTAGAACCAAACAATCAATATCCATGACTAAGACTTATAATAATTTGTGAGGCTGAAACTATTTATAGTTTCAGCTAGAGATGAATAAAATTAACTTGGCAAACAGTTGCTCTTCCTCTCCTCTAACCTCGCAATACCACCCCGCACTCAGTAAAAAGAGAAAGTTATTGATTATATTTTTTCTGAAACTCTCTTATAATCTCTTATAATCTCTTAGTCTCTTATAATCAATCATAATCTATTATAATAGATTACAATCTTTTTTTTTCTGTCAAAAGTCTCTAAAAGTGAGATGTCTTTTCACTCTTTGGTTCATCTGAACACAAAGTTTTACCACGAAACAAAAGTTTCATAGAGATATCTCCTTCATATTAGTTGAAAGAATCCCGCAGTAGGTGAAATATAACTCATTCTATATAAATCATGAAACTAAAGCAGTGTGCTGATATTTGGTGGGCAAAAAAAACTTAAAACGTGCATCAGGAAACAACTATAATCAAGAAGAAAAGAAAAAAACGTTATAAATTTGAATTGATTTTAAAACTGTTAAAACAGTTTTCCATTTTTTTAACATAAACCAACGCCTACAAAAAGCATAAAATACAAGCAATTTAGGGGGAAGTTCGAAGACCAAATTGGCAAACAAAAGGGGTACAATCATAATCGATTGTGATGGAATTTTTCTGCAAAACAAATAAATTAGAAAATTGGATAAAAATATTCGATTATAATCTATTATAGTGTATTATAATTGATTATATTTGATTTCAAAAAGAGATATTATAATCAATTATTATTAATTGATTAAAATTAATTTTTTCGCAATTTTTGTAAGACTTGTACCAAAATCAATCGATTATTAACGCTTGAAGCTGTATACGGGACCAGTATATACTAGATTTATTGAGACTAGGAATTATAAGATAAGTTTAGGATTGGTATTAGACTAGGAAGTTTCACGAATCTATCTGGCCGAAAAAAAAGTTGAAGAACAGAAGGTGTACTTTATCTGAAATTACTCTATGAGAAAACCATCCCCGGACTTAAACTTAAATTGGAGATGAAAAGTATTGGTTACTTATTCCCGATTTATGAGGAAAAAAAACAAAAAGTCTTTTTTAACTCATGTTTCATCATTCTCGAGTTATCGCCGGCTGAAGTGCAGATGAACTTCTCAAGACAAGCCATCTCAAGCGAACTGTAGAAAGCAAATTAACAACTGCAAACTGTCAATTAAAATTCTTTTTCAAAATTGGTAGCTCACACTTCAATTGCAGGTGATATCTTGGCATCCATTTTGCGAGAGTTTATGAAATAAATATACGCAATTATCATTTAAACAGCAGCGAACGTAAACGTTTGTTTTTCTCATTAAAAATAGTCGCTTGGGCAGAAAAATGCCAATTTTGAAGAAAAATTGAAGAAGCCTCATTAATTTTAAAATTTTATAGCAAAAAAAATTGGAACAAAAAAAAGGGCAGATGTTTTTAGTTTATCCAATTTTATGCTCAAGTCAGGCTGACTGAAAATCGGAAAACTAATACAAAATGAGTTTCTTGTCCAGTTTTTTTAGTGTGTTTCTAACATTTGCATTTTTTGCGGTGTTACTCTTACCAATTGTGGAATGTTACTTGAATGGTACTAATGGCGTTGACGATGAAACTGCAATTCTCGAGCATCTCAAACAAGGAATCAATCCTGAAATATCTTTCGTTGACATTGATAAATATTTGCAACTTTCAAAGTTCAATTTTGAAACCTTACAAATATTGAGTTTGAAAACAAAAAAACTGCTTGTATCAGGTAGATCCTTGAAAGCCCAGAACTCCCCATAAAGTAATTCAAATAGTTTTTATAAATAAAAAAAAACATATTTTATAAAAAAAATTTGGTAATAACCCCGCATGCAAAGGTGAAGTACAAAATGGCAAATTTCTCATATAGCGACAGGTTAGTAGGACCTTTTAAGCGGCCTTAATGAAATTTAAAGTGATGCCTGCAGATGAAATAAATATATAATTTTGGGGTCAGGGCATCATTATCTTTCAGATGATGAAAAAAATTTCAGTAAAAAAGTCAGTTTGCTGACAAGTTCAAACTTGTCTGGAACAATGACCCCTTCGAGCAAAAATGTTCCGCCACCTTTTTCAAAAGTCGGAGAAACACGGTTATCAGGTCAAAATTATAAATAGTCAATTGATTTAGAGTGTTTTTAGTGAAAAAATTTGATGGTGCACAAATCGATTTTTTTTAAATTGAGGCTTTTAGGAAAAATTATCCCCCATCTGCCATATAAAGTACAGAGTGATAGATTTAGTAACAAATTAATTATGTCAAATAAGCTGCCTCCAACCAATGCGGAACGGTTTCTAAGACGGATTAAATCTCCGCTTACGAATGAATAGCGCGAAATATATCGCGTGTTAATTGTCTCATAATGATTAAAATGGCAATTTTTAAACCCCCATAATATTACGAAAAACAATCAGGTAAAAGTTTTAAAATTTAAACTCATGACAACAATACTTTTTGAATGATATTAAAAAATTCCGTCAAAAATGGCTAAATAAAAACTCGAAATTTGTGTGAAGAAAAAAATCACCCCGAGCACAAATATTCCGTTCCTTTTGTTACGAAAGTCGGAAAAATAAATTAGTGGTTTTGACCATATAGTCAAGTTCAAAGATTCTCAGAACTGTTTTCAAATTTTTCAGGTTAAATATTTTAGTGTTCGATTGAAAGCTTTCATTTCAATCGCCGAAATTGATTTGATGAAAAACTACCCGATCATTAACATTCCGTTATTTTCGTCAAAAAAGTTTTCTGCAAATAAAAAATCATCGATGCTAACAATTGTTCAAAATACAGACTTCAAAAGCCTGTTTTCTTTAGTACGATTTCAATTTTTTGTATAAATTTTTGGAAAGCTAACTCACTTACTCCACTCATTCTCTCTCTCTCTCTCTCTCTCTCTCTCTCTCTTTTTCCTAGTGACTTGCCAGCTTCAATTCAATTTGGAACGCATTAGTTTGCCGCTTAGGCATGTTACAAGAAAGCAATATTTTGCGCGTTAATTATCCCAAATTGGTCAAATCAGTATTTTTCAAAGCCCTGTAATTTTACAAGTTTACGAGAAATAATTACAGGCAGATTATCTTTTCAAATTTGCGTAAATAATGCGCGATTAACTTTCAGCATCAAAGTATCGATGTTCACGATAGTAAATTAGTGAGTGTTTCACAGGAATCGTCGAATCGAGATAGTCTTGTGGTGAGCGCAACCTTCAGGGAGCACCAAGATACATGAACCGACTCCCCGCGGGAATTTTTTTTCGAGAATTGGTCTTGCGTAAAAAATCAACTCGAGCATATATATTCCTTACTTTCTTCTAAAGCCGAAGCAATAAGATTGCTTGAATCAAGGCAAAGCCCTGAATGGTCGGAGTGCCATTTTATTGGTCTCAAATAGTTTTTGTAAATTAAGTTTTCACAAAACTGGGAACTTTAAGCTGATAATATCAAATTTTAAGTCTTGAAATATGAATCGTGCATGGAATTAATCAAACCAATTAGCTTATTGCCTCAACTCAAATTGCAACCAATTTGTAGAGCGGGATAATTTGCCAGGTGTAAAATATGAAACGAGCAGTTCAGACAGCTTTGAGGAAGGATACTATAGAGGCGTGATCAACCTGCTGGGCCAAAGCAGATCAATGAGGGTCCAAAAAATATTGAAGATGGTGCCAATAAAAAGAATCCACTCGAGCATATATATTCCTCCCTTTCGTATTTCCCGAGAATTTCATGGTCCAAAAAAGGCAGTAGCACGAAATCTGTTTGCCCATATTCCAAGATTGCATATAGTATCCTTTTAGTTTAAAAATGACGACTCTATTGGGCGGAAAGAAAGTGACTGAAAACTTGGCTTGTGTTGAAAGTATAACACCCTCAATGATGAAATCAAAGGCCGAAAAATAAAAGAGAAAGGATGCTTTAAAATGCATCAAAACTTTGCCTGTACGCCTGTACGCCTTAGCACTTAAAAAATAACTTACACAAATTGGTTAAAGAACAGCTTAAGTACGGTGGTTTTAGTCGAAGAATTGCAGAGATTAGTTATTTGATTCCTTGTTCAATCCAGTCCTGCCTAAGTACAGTCCCCCCAAAGACATGCAAAATGGCAGTGTGTTTGTGTACCTGGACCTGTACCACATCCTAAGTGTGAACGAAAGGGAGGGCTACGTGACTGTGAAGATGTGGCTATTCTTCTTCTACTTTTCTCTTAGTTCCCAGTGGAATGTGTCTCAGACTGGAATAGCGTGCATGATTGTGCCTCAAGACACCTTCTGGTGTCCAGATATAGGTAGTGGCGTGCGAAAAAAATGGCCTTTACTTTTAGAAAATTTTGTCAACCTTTTTTCGGGTCGGTCATTTCGATTATTCCGAACTCTATCGAAAGTCAAAAATGGCCATATTTATCAAAATTTTGTTGCGCCGCTGGCAAGTCTTTGTGTTGAAAACTACAATTTCTTCGGGTATATTTTAATTGTCAAGGAAGTGCT